GGACTGGGTTATGGGCAATGTTAATTGCTGTCTGGTTATCAGATTATAACATCATAGGTTCTTCTACATGTACACCAATTTCTTCTAATAGGGAACGGATCCAGAGAAGTTCTGAAACTCCATGTGCCATGGCCCTGTATTCAACTTCAACACTTGATCTTGCCACCATTGTTTGTTTCTTACTCTTCCACGAGACAAGGTTACCCCCAACAAGGGTGCACACTCCTAAAGTTGATCTCCTGTCATCAAGGCATCCTGCCCAATCTGCGTCTGTATAAGCCTCTAGTTTCAACTGTCCATGATCAGTAAACAATATGCCTCTGCCCGAGTGTCCTTTCAAATAAGCAAGAATCCTGTTAACTGCCTCCCAATGCTGGACTCGTGCATCATGCATGTATTGACTTACCACACTTACTGCATAGGAAATGTTTGGTCTTGTCATACACAAGTATAGCAGCCGACCCACAAGTCTCTGATATCTCCCAATGTCCTTTACTGGTTCACCTTCCGATGCATTGATTCTATGGTTCTGATCAATAGGGGTACTGATTGCCTTCGTTCCAAGCTTCTTGTCTCTTGAAGAAGATCCAAGACATACTTCCTTTGAGAAATAAAAATTTTATGTTTTGATCTTGCAACTTCAATGCCTAAGAAATATCTCAATTCTCCAAGATCCTTAATTTCAAATTCTTTATGTAGATTCCTTTTCAGACAATCAATCCCACTTAGGTCATTCCCCGTGACAACAATATCATCCACATAAACAATTAGGACTGACACCAAAGATCCCCTTCGCTTCGCAAACAATGTATGATCGGATTGAGTTTGAGTGTAGCCAAAAGCAATCAAGGCCTTTCTGAATCTGTCAAACCATGCTCTGGAAGATTGTTTCAAGCCATAAAGTGACTTCTTAAGCCTGCATACATTTCCCTTTTCAGTATCACTGTAAAAGCCAATAGGAAGATTCATATACACTTCCTATTGCAGATCCCCATTTAGGAAAGCATTCTTCACATCAAGTTGAAACAAGGGCCAAGAGTATGAGGTAGCAAGAGAAAGAAGTATCCGAACAGAGGTAATCTTTGCAACTGGTGCAAAAGTCTCTAAGTAATCAATACAATAGGTCTGTGTGTACCCTTTTGCAACAAGTCTTGCCTTCTACCTTTCTATACTTCCATCTGGCTTATATTTTACTGTGTAAACTCATCTGCATCCAACTGTCTCCTTGCCTTCTGGTAGATCCACAATGTCCCATGTTTGATTCTTAATCAAAGTTGCCATCTCTTCTTGCATAGTTGTCTCCTACTCAAGTTTGGAGAGAGCCTCACTAACACCCTTGGGTATAGAAACTGAGTCAAGGGAGGAAAGAAAAACACGGTAGAAGGAGAAAGTCCATTGTAGGATAAGTACTATGAAATACAATGAGCAGTACACTTTCTCTTCCCTTTTCTAAGAGCAATAGGAAGATCAAGGTTATCTGTAACAGGGTTAGTAGAACCAATGGGAACTGAAACAGTAGCGGGACCAAGAGGAATACCTGAATCCATGTCAGCCGAATCTGGAGTCTCCAAGGAATCGACAGGAAGTGATGTGAATTCTGCTACATTGGAATCAACCTCCTTGTGAAGTCTCTGTCGAAAGTAATGTTGAGAAGCAGGACACAAAGGAGGTGGTAAGGTAGGATGGTCAAGCATAGGAGTAGACACAGGATGGTCAAGCACAGGGGTAGACACAGGGACTGGAACTGGAACTGGGAGAGGAATAGACTGCTGACTCACTTCCCCAAAACACTTCCCCTGAGAAGGATTCTTTGAAAAGAAGCATGTGGATTCAAAAAAAGTGACATCCATGGTAACATGCTGGCTCCCAGAGATTGGATCATAGCAGCAGTACCCTTTCTGATTTTCTACATATCCAAGAAAGACACACTTCTTTGCCTTAGGATCAAGCTTCAAGCGGTGAGGACCAA